CCCACCCCCAACCCCAACCCCAACCCCAACCCCAACCCCAACCCCAACCCCAACCCCAACCCCAACCCCAACCCCCAATAACCATTCCAAACTTATTTATGTATTTAAAAACCCCAATACCCAATCCAAATATATATATATATTTAAATACCCCATCCAAATATATTTATGTATTTATATTATCCGAATTTATTTATGTAACTATTGTTTTTTAAATATAAAAATTTATATTTTATATATATATATATATTTATTTAATATTTCTTATACAAAAAATAAATATTTTAATTATAATTAATATATGTTTATAAAAATTTTTTTTTTTATCATATTAAAATTTTTTTTACACATATTTTTTCACAAATTAAGTAATAAAAATTCTTTTTTTCTTATATAAAAAAAAATATTAATATATAATTGATTATATAGATAAATTAAATATATATTTCATATATTTAAATAAAAATAATAAAATATAATATGTCAGATTAATAAAATTTACTTTCAAAGATCAGTATAATATAATTCTTTATAAAAGACAATGAATTATTCAACTAGTATATATACGACATTTTATCAAAAATTAGCAATCAATTTTATTAAATTTCTAGCTATACATTTTAATAACAAAAATAAAACTAATTAAATCTATATGCTATTTAAAAAAGTGAAAATAAAGTTAAAAAATTAGTTATTGAGATTAAATTAATTAATATTAATGAATATTAGGAGTAAAGTCGATATTAAATAGATACTAATAATTAAAGAGACATTTTTTATAAAAATTAAAATATTATAAAAGTTTATTCAATTTTTTATTTTTAAATTAAATAAAATTCACCGAATATTAATAATTATAGTAAAAATAATTCTAATATATTTTTCAAAACAACTATTACAGAAACATATGATTGTATTATATACTATAAATTTATAAATTATTACATATTTATTTATTTTTTTTTAAAAAAAAGCTACTTTAATTTAGTTTATAGAATATTTAATTTAAATCAGAGCATAGGAGTTAAATAAAGTTTTTTATAACTTTTTAATTTAAATTATGGAAACTCTATAATATTTAGATTAAAATATGTTTTAATGTTCTTAAATAGATATAGATTCTTTATTTATTTTTGTTAATGAATAAAATAATAATGTGAAATTAAAAATCAGTAAATTATATTTATCTAATACTTTTTAAAATTTTAATTTTTTTATAGGATTATATACACTTGAATAGAAAAATTCTCAGGATTAAGTATTTAAAACAATTTTCTTTATATATATATATATATATATATATATATATATATATATATATATATATATATTTTTAAAGAGTTCAATATGTAAATAAATATGCGAATTAATATCTTTGTTTCAAAACAAAATAAAAAATATATAAAAAAAAAAAAATTTAAACTATTACCTATTAAATTAATAATTTTAAGAGATTTAAAGTATAAATTAATTAATTTAATAAAATAATAACATTAATTTAGCTCTAAATATTTATCAATAATAAAAATAATGTAAGCAAATTAATATAATATTACTTTTAAAGTTAAAATATAAAAAACTTAGAAATATAATCAAATCAATATGAATAATATTAATATACTTCAGTGACAAATCAACATCTTTAAAATACTTTTAATTATATTTTTTAAGAATATTTATAAAACAATAGTGATCCTCCAAGAAAAAGCATTGAATCAACCTATTAAGTTATGAATTATGCATTAAGTGAATATAAAAATTAAGGATATTGAATCGAATTCAGTAAATTAGAATAAAATTATTCGCATATATCTATTGCAAGAGGAGAAGGAAATTGTTATTATAGGTCTTTTATTATTTAATTTTTAGTATAAATATTTGTATTAAATAATTCTGAAAAGATTTTGTAGTTTATAAATGAAATCGAGTAAGTTAATTATGAGGAAATTATCGGTATAAAAGATTATGATTTTCCTATTGAAATTTATAAAAAAATATTCGTTTATAATTGCTATGATTTTCTTTAAAAAAAAATAGCTTATGGAAAATTTAAGTTTGATTAAATTTGTAAATATATTCTTTAGTAATTTAATAAGTCTTATCTTCTAGATATTTCTGCAGTTATATTTACAAGACAAACAATTATTAAAGGTTTTAAAGAAACTTTGTTTGTATAATCAAAATATTTAGAGTTTTTTCCTAAAGACCTTTAAGACTTTTACTTATAGCTAACTAAAAATTATTAAACTGAGGCTGAATCCTATATTTTAGAAGCTACATGTTAAGCTTTTAAAGCCAATATATTAATATAAAGTATTTATAATGATATAAATAATAAAAAAGGAGTAATAAATAGAGTTGATAAATATTAAGCTTATATTGAAAATTAGTATAAAATAAATCTTATATCTATATATTATAGTTAAGGACATTATAATATGCTATTTGAGAAATAATTTATTAAAAAATATCGAATATCATTATGAAAATTATATTAATTTTATATGTAGTGTTTTATATTAAAAATAAAATATATTTATATATTCTCCATAGATTATATTAAAAATTGATTATTTTTTCAATTTAAAATTTAACTATATTTTATATATAATAATAATAATTAGAATATATTCTTTAAAAAAATATATACTTAAACTCCATATTAATGATTAAGTTAAGTAAAAAATAATAATTTTATATTTTTAATAATTATTAATATGTATATTTATATATGTTTTTGATGTATTATAGAAAATTAAAATAGACATTCCTAAAGAATTTATTTATATTATATTTTATAAATATTAAAAAAAAATATAATAATTTAATTATTTTTAATATTCTTTTTTAATTTTTTATTTATTTAAGGCAATAATATTAATTTTTATATTTTTTATTTGTTAATAAATTTTTATTATTTTTTAAATGTAAATAATATTTAATTTTATTTATAAAATAATTTTTTTTAAGTATAATCATATAATTTTTATTAATTTTATATAACCATAACCACATTATTTTTTTATATTTTAATATTTATTTATTTTTCTTTAATTATTTTTATTTCATTAAAAAAATACTTGATTAAAAATAATATTTAATATAAAAGCTATAAATTAATTTTAAACTTAAATAATATTTATTTTATATTATCATTAGAAATCATAAAGTTTATTTATCATTAGAAACAAATTAATCTAATTTATTATTATTTATAAAATAAAAAAATTTCTAATAATTATATTAACTGTAAAATTTTTATTTAAATTCATATTCAAAATAAATATATTTTTCTATTAAAAATTATTAAGTTATTAATATATTTTTTAATAAATAATATTTATTTTTATATTATGGATAAATTAAAAATATACACTTTTATTCAATTTTTTGTTATTTTTTTCAAATCTTTTTTAATATTTAATATTAACTACTATAAATTATTGATATACTTCTAAAAAATAAATACTGAATTGAATTTTAGGATTATTTCATATGAAATTAAAAAAAAAGAAGTTCTAATTTAAAAAATGAAATAAGTATATTTAATTAAGTAATATAAAATAGAAATAAATTAATATTACTATAATAATAAATATATGTATTTGCAAATATTATAGTTAATAATATATTTAAAAAAAATAAAATAAAATAAATACGTAAAAATTTTAAATTAAAAGTATTTTCAAATACAAAATAAAAAACACTTACTCTCTATATTCAATTTTTTTGATTAAAATTAAAAAGATATAATTTAAATAATAATTAAGTTATTTTTATATTAGATTTTTATAATCAAATATATCTTTGGTATATTCAAAAAATTTATTTAATTTTTAATTAGTATTATTTTTATATTTTGTTTATTATAAATTAAAAAAAATATGATCCAAAAGTATTTGTTCTTATATTAAACTATTTACAGGTTAATTAATTTTAAATTATTATTTTTTAAAAATGTATATTAATAAAAATTAAAAGCAAAAAAATAACATGTATAAAAATAAAATAATTAATTTTAAACCTCCTTTTAATTTATTTTTACAAGATAACATTTTATTTATAATAATTAATATTTGAAAAATATGAATATATAGATATTTTTTTAAAATAAGCAATTATTAACTTTTTAATGTTATAATGAGTATATTGATTATTATTATTAAAAATATATATATTTAAATAAAAAATAATTTATTGTATCATATTTATTACATATTATTAAAAATAAAAAGCAATAAAATAGCAAATATCAAAATAAATTTTAATTTCAAAAATTAATTTGTTTTTTATTTAAAAAGAAAAATATATTTATTTATTCATAAATTTTTTTCATTTATAAATTATCTTATATTTAAAAAAAAGAGAGATTAAAAAATGAAATATTTAATAATTTTTATTAGTTTATTATTTATCAATCAATTAAGAGCTGTAAAATGTCCTGCTGGTTCTCAGACTGATGCTGGATCAGATTAAGTAGCTGCTGAAAATAATCTTCCAGAGTGTACTAAGTGTAAACTTAACTTTTACTATGCTGGAGCGTCACCTTTGGCTGCAGGAAATGCTGTTAATGGTATATGCACATAGTGTCCACAAAATAAAATAGATAGTGTAGCCACTTTAGGCTCTGAGGCTACTATAGCCAAATAATGTGACATCTCATGCCCTCCTGGTACAGTACTTGATGATGGAGTAATACAAAATTATGTAAAGTCACCAGCTGAATGTACTAAATGTCTTCCTAACTATTTCTAATCAGTAGAAAATAATTAGATCGTAGAAGCTAAAACATGTGCTGAATGTTCTTATAAATTACCTTCTGGTGCTTAAGCTAGAATAATTACTGAAGCTACTCGAAAAGTATAATGTGGCGTCGCTTAATTTTTATCAATTTCCTTATTATTTATTTCTTTCTATTTGTTGTGATGGATATGAATTAAATAATTCTTGCTATTTTTATGTTTATGTTTTATAAATTAATGTTCAAAATTTATGAAAATATTTTTTTTATAAAAATAATATTTTTCTTTATAATATTTTAAAAAATTAATTTCAAAAATAATGAATAAAAGTAGCATTTTATTATTAATAATCTTATTAAAATAAATACATAAAAAACATATGATTATTATAAGTATTTTGGTCTAATTAATTAATATTTTATAATTAAAAAAATATCTTTTAAACAATAGTAAAGAAGAAACTTATTTTTATTTAAATTTATATTTTAGTAATTTTTATTTTCAATATTAATTAATGTATAAAAGCTAAATATTTATTAAGTTTAATATAAACAAACATAAATAATAATTTAAAAATATTCATGATTAAAAAAATTTTTATAATAAATATAATTTTAAAATATTAATTGTTAAATTTCAAAATAATTTATTTTTTATTTTATAAAATTTTAAAATAGAATATAAAATAAATTAAGAACTTTAAAAAATGAACTGCCTTATTCATACACAGCTTAATGATGTGAAAGTTGAAATTCCAAAAAACCTCCTTTATTGTCATATATTTTGTTAATAGAGTTGAAGATATATATATACTTTATTTAAATAATTATATACAATGCTATAATAGTATGAGAAAATTTGAAACGAATTTACTTATTATTAAAATTCATCAAACACTATATAGCCCCCTAGATATAAGAATAAAATAGTCTAACCTTTGAAAAAAAATTCATATATATGATTAGCATTTAAGTTTTACTTATTTTTTTATGAATAATATCAATTATATATGTGTATTCAATTTATTACTTCTCCTTAAGGGTTTAAGCTAACAAAATAATAATATTTAATATATTTGATAAGGGAAATGTTAGGCCAAGTAAATTAAAAGTTAAATATATTTGAAGAAGTAAATGGAACATAATTAAACAATTTTACTATAATAATCAATTAAAATTGTTTAAATTAAAAAATTAGAAGACTCTTTCTAACAAGTAATATATAAATTTCAAAACAATATATTTATACACGAATACAAATATAATTTCGATTTATCTGTAACTCAAAAAGAGTTTGATATATAATTTTACAAGAATTGCAACTTAAAGATACATTATTATTTGTTAAAAATGAGGAAATAGTAAATTAAATAGAAAAAATAGAAGAATAGGTTATATTTGTAAAAAAAAATATTAATTAAAAAAATAAATGCTACTAAGCTTATGTTTAATCTGAAAACATCAACTTTGATGATATAAAAAAGTAATTATTATTAGTTTCAACTTATATTTATTTTTTAAGTTAAAGTAAGTAATTTTTTAAATAGTTTTTAATAAGCATAATACATACTACTTTATAATACAATTTAACATAGTGTTCAAAAATTAGATGATATTAAAATATTAGTAATATATAGGGATATTATAATGCAATAAGTCTGTAAATTGTTAAATTTATGATTTTACAAGCAATATTTAGACAAAAGCAAGAGAATGTTAAAGAGATTGTGTTTATGTATTTGGAGAATTCGAAAGAATTAATAAATGATTAAATATAATAAGAATAAATTTATAATTCATAATTTTTTTCTTTGAGAATTGGGAATTATGAAGATTTATTTTATTCTCAAAGGCGGTTAAGATGAATACTTTACAACTATTGCTTTTTATTTAAAAATAATTAAATTAGATTATTTTCTATGATAGATAATGAAAAAATAAATGTATTATATTTGGAAATTATTTATTTTTGATTTGTAACTTAAAAAACTTGATACTTTTTTATTTGAAATTTTAAACTTTTAATTTTATAAGCATAATTAATGAACTTTTTTATTTAATGAGTTTAAATTATAAACATTCTATAAAAAATAAAAATATTATTAGTTTGAAAAGTAAAAAAACTTAAACTGTGTTTATAATTTTTTTTAGATAATTTCATGTGAATTTAGGTTCATCTATTAATTTAATAACTCTAAATCAATTTATTTTATTTATTAGTTTATTAGAAACATTACTATAAGATTTTTACAAATACATCGTAAATATCTTTAATTTTAAGTTTAAATTTGAATTAAAGGTTCTTTATTTTAATAAGTAAATAAATAATAAAAATGTGCAGGAATAAGTTCTTAAGCAAAGAATGTTTTTGAATAAAATAATATAATAGATATTATAATTTATATATTAATATATATATAAATAACAAATAATAAAAATTTTAGTTGATATTATTAATAATATTCAAATAAATATTTTTATTATTTATCTTAAATAATTTAATAAAAATTATGTATTTTATAAATACTTATTAAAATAATTAATTTTTTTTTAAATATCTAAAAAAAGCTCAGTTTTATTAAGATTTCTGTTAACCAAACAAATTATATATATAAATTAACGACAATTATTATAATGAAATATATAAAATTAAATAAAATAAAATAAAATAAAAGTTTTTAATTTATTTCGAAGAAAATAATAAAAATCATGTCTCTGAATGATACTAAAAATTCTAATAGGATGATAATATTCTATCTTTATGTAAAATTCAAAATTTAAGTTCTAAATATTAATATAATAATTATTAAATTTTTATTTAATAAAAACAAATTCTTTGTCAACTATAATAATTTTTATTAAAAAATAATGTAATAAAATTTATTTACTTTATGAATTTATAATTTCTTGGTATTAAAAATTATTATGCTGAAATATATTAAAGATAAATATTTTTTATAAAAATTAATCATAAAATTATATTTTTTAATATATTATAATCAGATTTAATTAAATAATTACAGAAAAAAAAAAATATTATATAAGTTGATAATTTTAAAAATTTAATCATTATAGAATATATTAGATAAAAAATAAAAATAAGATTACAAAAATGTAAAAATATAAAATAAAATAAATATTTTATAAATAAAAAAAATTAAATAGTAAATAAAAAAATTAATTAAATATTATAAAATATATATAAAAAAATTATTTATAAATAATAAAATAAAAGTATTATATATGTATTATATAAATAAAAATTAATATTAATATTAATACAAAATAATTATTTTATTTAGTAAATTTTTATATTTTTTAGATTCATATAATTAAATCATTTTTATATAAATTTTCTTTATTTATATTAATTTTATTTTATTTTTATATAAAACTATTATTTTTGAATAAAATAACTTTTAAACTTATATTATATATTTATATTTTTATTGTATAAATTTTTCGTTAAGTTATTTTTTTAAAAATTATAATAAAATCAATATTTTTTTAAAATAGTTTAAAAAATTTATATAATATTATTTAAATATTTTTTTCTTTTATTTTATATAAATAACATAACTATATTCATGAATTTTTTATATTTTAATTTTTAATATACATTTAAATATCATTGATTTTTATTTTATGTAAATTTGTTTAATTTATGTAATTTTTTTTTTAATATTTATATTTTAATCATCATTAATTAATATTTTACTTTAAATTAAAAATTTTATAATCTACAAGTTTTATAATTATTTTTTTGTTTAGAAAAATAAATTTTTAAATATAAAAAAAATAGTATGACATTATTAAGTTTAATTCTTAAATAATATATTTTTATAAACTTTTTTTTATTATATTTTATATTTTATCTAACAAAATGGATATTCAATATTTAAATACTTATTTTTATTTTTAATTTATATATATATGACATTTGGAGATATTAATTATAGCTATTTTATATTTTATTACTATATAGTTTTATAACATTTTTTTAATATTTATCATTTTAATAAACATTTATTTTATTTTATTTTTATTCTTTAAAAATAAATATTTACATAATAAAAAAGTAAATATAACATATTATTTATAATTTAAAAATAATATGTATTTTTATTTTTATTTTATTTAATAAGACTATTAATTTTAGTTTAATAATAATATTTTTAAAATTAAATGATTTTAATTTTTAATTAATTAGATTTATTATTTTAAATTTTTTTATAAAAATTCAATAATAAACAGTTAATTAAAAAAAAATATAATGCTAAATCAAGTTTAATATTATTAATATATTAAAAAAAAATTGTTAATAATAACTATATTTTATTTCATAATTAACCAAAAAATAAAGATTTTTAAGTCTTACAATTTGTTTTAATAATATATAAATATAATTTATTAAATTAATTTTTTTGAAACCAATTAATAAAAATATAAACTATTAAATTAACTGGAATTATTTATAAATTCTTTTAATTATTTTGGCAATTTATGTTTAATATGGCAATCTAATAAGCATTAATACAACGATAACATACTTAATATAATAATAAATTTCTAGTCCATGAGAATTTGCACAATTTCTATTATTTATAACAGTCAAAGCGAGAACCAAAAAAAGCGCTTATTATATAAAGTTATATAAGATTTTTGCAGTATATTTGGCTTTAGATGTATCGATTCTTTTAGATAAGCCTACTAATAAAAGCAGCGAAAAGAATATTATGGATTGAGACGCTGTTTATATTTTGAAAGTATTTGAGTTGATTGAATATCCATAATTTACTGATGTGACCAGCAAGGATCAAGAGAAAAATTACCACGTGAAGTAAATAATCCAAAAATTTATATGAATGACAATAATCATAGTTTATAATCCAAGAAAAAGGCCTTTATAAATCTAATATATAATTTTATAATATCGTTTTTTTTAATATGTTAATGTTTTCTTTAATTTTTATGAATATTTTTTTAAATACTTAGACTTAAAAATTTAATAAATATTATAATATAAAAAAAGGCAAGAATATTATAATATGTTTGATAATAAAATTAAATTAATTTATATATTATTACTAAAAATAAAAAAAATAGATTAATTCTTTTATTGTAAAAATATTTTAATTTTGAAAATTTTTCTTTTTTTATTATTATTTTATATAATTACTTGATATAAAAATGCATTAGTACTTGTATCTGAAAGATAACTTAAAAAAAAAACTATATATAATCAAAAATTAGTGGAAGTTTCATGAATAATTTATCAAGGGAATAAACTAAAATAATTTTTATGAGAAATTGTTTAATACTATGTAAAATTATGAAATAATATATCTTATATATGCATTGAAAAATACAATAGATAATTTAAATAATATTGTACTATTAATAAAACTATTAGTGCTTATGTATTTTAAATAAAAAATATAAAACTATACGTGCTTGAGTTCAGAGTTGTGTAGCGTTTGGATTAAATTAATAAATTTATGCCTTGTTTTAAATCGATAATTATTAAAAATGGATTATTTTTAACTACTGAAGGATAAAATAATATGACAATAATTGGGGTAATAATGATTATAATTCTAGAATTTTAGATAAAAATAGATTTTAATGAGAAAATTATATAAATATGAGTATTTTTATTTAAATTTTTTGTTAAAAAAAAAAATTATTATTATTATTATTATATCTGATTTTTTATTTTATAATTTTTTTTTATTTTTTTTGAATAGTTAATATTAGTTTTATACGCATTATATTTTTTTTTTTGAGATTTTTAATTTTATTTCTAATTTTAAAAGTCATTCATATATTTAAATGTTTTTTAAGGACTTAATATTGCAATTAAAATATTAAAGTCTTAAATAAAAAATAAAATATATTTATAAACATTATATCGGAAAATTAAAAATATTAGTTATTCATATTATATATATTATAATATTCACTTTTATGTTTATATTTTGCATTAATTACAAAAAAATACTAAATTAAGATTTGCTTAAGAATATATTGTAAAACTAAATATATTTAACTTTATTAATAAAAAACAATATTATAATTAAAATATTATTTTACTATTATATAATGTTTTATTTATTAAATAATATAATTATTTATTGATAAATAATTATTTTTTTATTGTATATTTAGTAACTTAATCACATATAATTATTTAAATTATTATTATTTTATTTTGAAATATAATTTTTTTTTATTTTTTAAAATACAAATAATTTTATATTTATATATTTATTTTAATATTAGAAATAAATAAATTATTAATTATGATAAGAATTCACATTATTAATAGTAAAATTTAATACATTATTTATATATAAATATATATAATTATTTATACATAAATATTTTAAATTTTTTTTATAAAAGAATTTAATTTATTTATATATGTATAATAAAATATTTTCATATTTTTTATATTACCCCCACTATTTTTTTTATTATATTTAATATTATTTTTATTTTTCATTTTTTTTTTAAAACAAAAAAAACAACAATTATTTTTTTTCATATTCATTAAGAAAAATCATAGTTTTTTTATTAGCATAAACAATTAAATTATCTTATTTTATTTCAAATAAAATTTTTCCTAATAATTTAATTTTTTTTGTTTTTACATTCTTAATTTTTTTTTTGTTCGAAAATTATTATGCTAATTGTTCAAAATATTTTCTAATATATTTAAAAATTTATGATATTAAATTATTAAAAATTATAAATCATTAGAATTCTTCTTAAAAAAATATAATGAAAATATTTTTATAAATCTTTCTTTGCAAATAATGAATTAATTTCATATAAAATATAGTTTTAATTTTACAAATTTAATAAAGAAAAATAAGGATTATAATTAAAATATACTACAAAAACAAAAAAATTAAATATTGTGGAAGAAGTAAATGATATAAATATTTTTTTTTTCAAATTAATTATATTAATCATATTTAAATATTTTATCTTGGTAAATATATATATAATTTATAAATCTTTAAAATTATAAAATCATAATTAAAAAATATGATTAGAAATTTAAATAATAATTAAGTTTTTATTTATAATTAATTTTATAAGCAAATAAATTATTGTATATTAAAAATATTATTTAAATTTTTATTTATAATAATTCTTGATTTTTTTTATTTTAATTTTAAAAATATAAATTATTTTTCACTTTAATTATTTTAATAAAAAAAAATATATTATTTAAATTTAAAAGAAAATAAAGAACAAGTAAAAAAATAAATATATTTTAAACCTTTTTTTTAGTTTATTTTCAAAAATTAAAATTTTATTTATAATAATTAATATTTTGAAAAAAATAATCCCTTTTTATATTTAAAAAGAAGTTTTTCAAACCTCAATTTTGAGTTATTTTTGAAAAAAAAAATTGTCTATTACATTTTTATATTTATAAAAGACATAACTAATTTAAAAATTAAAAATATTATTAAAAAAATAAAAAAAATAAAAAATGAAATATAATATTTTAATAATTTTGATTATTTCCTTATTTATCAATGAATTGAGAGCTCTTAATTGTCCTGCTGGTACTTAGACACAGGCAGGATTATTTGAAGATGGTGATCTAGCAAATTGTACTCATTGCAGAGCTAACTTTTACTATAATGGTGGTAATCCTGCAGGTGATGCTGTTGGTGCATAGGCTTTCACACCAGGTGCTGCTAACGCTACTGGTTAATGCGTAGCTTGCTAAGTAAATAGGGAAGGTTCTGCAGGTACACAAGGTGCTGCTGCTAATTTAGCCACATAATGTAGCGTTGCATGCCCTGCTGGTACTGCAGTTGCTGATGGATAAACACTTAATTTTGCATTATCTGTGGCATAATGTACTCATTGCAGAGCTAACTTTTACTATAATGGTGGTAATCCTGCAGGTGATGCTGTTGGTGCATAGGCTTTCACACCAGGTGCTGCTAATGCTACTGGTTAATGCGTAGCTTGCTAAGTAAATAGGGAAGGTTCTGTAGGTACACAAGGTGCTGCTGCTAATTTAGCCACATAATGTAGCGTTGCATGCCCTGCTGGTACTGCAGTTGCTGATGGATAAACACTTAATTTTGCATTATCTGTGACATAATGTACTCATTGCAGAGCTAACTTTTACTATAATGGTGGTAATCCTGCAGGTGATGCTGTTGGTGCATAGGCTTTCACACCAGGTGCTGCTAACGCTACTGGTTAATGCGTAGCTTGCTAAGTAAATAGGGAAGGTTCTGTAGGTACACAAGGTGCTGCTGCTAATTTAGCCACATAATGTAGCGTTGCATGCCCTGCTGGTACTGCAGTTGCTGATGGATAAACACTTAATTTTGCATTATCTGTGACATAATGTACTCATTGCAGAGCTAACTTTTACTATAATGGTGATGCTAATTTTGTAGCAGGTACTAATCAATGCACAGCTTGTCCAGTAGGTGCAAATAAAGGTGCAGATGCAGCAGCCGCTTAAGGTAATGCCGCTAAAATAAAAACATAATGCAACGTTTTATGTCCTACTGGCACTTCAAATGCTAATGGAGATACATTTTGGACAGCAGCAATAACTGATTGTGTTAATTGTGCTGCTAATTTTTACTTTAATGGTGCTTTCAATGCAGGTACTAGTTAATGCATATAATGTCCAGTAAGTAAAGCTAATCCTGCAACTGCTCCAGGTGGTAGTGCTAGTTTATCAACATAATGTAACTCCGCATGCCCTACTGGTACAGTACTTGATGATGGAACAACAACTAATTATACAACTTAAGCAAATTAATGTACTAAATGTGCTGTTAACTTTTTCGCATCAAAAACAACTGGTTTTGTAGCCGGTACTGATACATGTACTGAATGTACTAAAAAATTAACTTCTGGGGCTACTGCTAAAGTATTTGCTGAGGCTACTCAAAAAATATAATGCGCCGCGACCACTTTTGCTAAATTTTTATCAATTTCCTTATTATTTGTTTCTTTCTATTTGTTGTGATTAATAAAATAATAATTATTATTTATTTTTGTTTTTTTTATGTTTTATAAATTTAAAAAGAAATATTTTAAAATTTATCAAAATATTTTTTTTATAAATAATTTTATATAATAATTTAATAAAATCTTTTTAGAATGTTTTTTTTATAATATTATAAGAATTAATTTACAAATTCTGAATAAAAGTAGCATTTTATGATTATTTATAGTTTTATTAAAATAAATAAATGATAAAAAACATGTTTTAAAGAAAAGTAAAGTAGAAATTTAATATTTATTTATATTTTAATGTATTTCTTATTGAATATTTATTTAATCAATGTTTAAATACTAAATATTTATAAAGTCTAACTGAAACATTAAACAATAATTTTAAACAATTAATTAACAAAAAGAATTTTATAATAAATTCAATTTTAATATTCACAATAATAAATTATAATAAATACTATTTACTTTTGCAAAATAATATATTATTATTATATTAAAAATTTAAAATATAGTATAAAAATAAATTAAATAAAATTTTTAAAAAATTCAATGTTCTATATATCAGCTTTAAGATGTAAATGTTAAAATTCCTAAAAATAATTTTTCTTATCATACATATTTTGATGAAACAAATACTTAATTTAAAAAATTATTTAGAAAACCCTAATTATATTTGAATATTTGAAAAAAATTTTACTAATAATTATCCAAAAATTATAATAACTTTAAAATTTTTTTTTTCTAATATATATTAGCATTTTGAGTTTTACCTATTTTTTGTGTGAAGATAGTCAATTAAATATGTCTATCTAATTTAATGCATCACATTCAGAGCATAAGCTTAAAAATAATAATATCCAATTTATTTGTTAAGGAAAATGTTAATATCAAATTAATTTTTTTTTTAAAAAAAATCAAAAAAAATATAAAAAAAAAATATTTTTAAATTTACATATATTTGAATTTTTATATAATATATAATCGATTGTTAATATTTTTTGATGAAAATATAAATGCAAAAATATAATTTTTTAATATATCATTAAAAAATAGAAAATTACTCATAATATAAAAAATCTAAAATCAAGTGATTAAGAATAAATTATGTAAATAAAAAAAAAAAAATTACAAATTAGATAAAGAATAGTAAAATTTTAAATAAACATACTTAAGTATTTTATCTAATTTAAAAAATTATTATAATAAAAAAAAAAAAATGTTTAAAAATGAAATAATATATTTTATAATTATAAAAAAAATTAAAATATAGTTATAATTATATTCTATATAAATATATATATATTTAATTTTATATTTATTTATATATAGAAATATATTATATTTCAAATACATATATAATTAATATTTAGAATTTTAAATTTTAATATTTCTCTACTTTATTTTATTCATTTTATATATAAATATTAAATTATATTATAAATAATATACTTAATTATTTCGAATTATTTTTTTAATCTATATTTTTTTCATAATAAAAAAAAAAAAATTAAAAATTGTATATTATTTTTAAGTTTTTAAAAATTAAATTTAAAAAATTATATATATATGTAAATATATAATTATATATTATTTTACATATATTTTTTTTTTTTTTTTATTTTTATCTTTTTTGAATTTTTATTTTTAATTATTTATTTAGATTTTTATAATCAATTAATTATATTTTTAATATTTTTTTACTAAATATATACTCTATTTTTTTCATCATTTTTTTTTTCTATATTTATATTACTTATTTCTTAATATTGAATATACATAAATAATTTAATAATATTTTTTTTTTATTTTTTTCTTTTTATATATTATAACTATTACATTACTGTTTCTTAGTCTTAAATAAATTCTTTGAATAAAAAAGTATATAAAAAATAAAAAAAAATTAAAAATAGATATTTAAATATAATATGAAATTATAAAAAAGTATGTAGAATAAAATTTAACTGAAATTTTAAATATTAAATAATATTAATATAATTATAAATTTTTATTTAATATATTAATATGAATATTTTTTTTTTCAAATCACTTTAATTATTTTTAATTAATATAAAAAAAATTATATTTATTTTTTTTATTTTCTAAAAAAATTAAATATATTTAAAATTAATTAAAATATTTATTTATCTCTATTTATATTATTAATTGTTAGAATTATTATAAATAATTAATTATTTAATTATTAATAACATTTATGGTTTAATATGCCATCAGGTAGTAGATTGATTTCTCTTAGTCACAGTAGTAGTATAACCTGTATATGTGTACTTTATTTTAATTTTATTTTTATGTCACAGCTGTAATGAAATATAAATTCTACAGATTTTCAAAATCAACAATACCTTTACCTTTTGTATATATTTTTTATTTTTTAAATTATACATATATATTAAAAATTTAAAACTAAAATAAAATTAGTATATCAAATATAATTAAATAATATATAAAAAAGTATAGATAAATAATAAATGAGTAACATTATTATATAATCTATATTGTAAAAATAATATGTGTTTATGATTAAAATTAAGTTAAATAATAATAAAAATATGTTATTAATTTAAAAACTTAAGGCATTTTTATTATTAAAGAGTAATATAATAATTTATAAAATAAATAATATATGAAATATTCAATCTTTAAAAAAATAATATTAAAAATTATTTTATTTTAATAAAAATTCCTATATAAAAATAAATATTTACTTTTTATTTTTATATTTATGTTTTATAAATTAAAAATAGATTTAAATTCAAAATTTATGAAAATATTTTTTTTATAAAAATAATCAATTATATATAACTAAGTTAATAAAATATTTTTAAAAAGTTTTCTTATAATATTTTAACAAAATTAATTTAAAAATAGTTAATAAAAGTAACATTTTATATAATTAATAATTATATTAAAATAAATACATAAAATATATATCCTTATATTAATAATTATTATTGACTTATCAATAATTTTTTTAAAATTGAAAAAATATATTTTAAACTATAGTAAAAGATAAGTTTATTTGTATTTTAGTGATTTTTATTTTGAATATTACTTTATATATAAAAACTAAATATTCATTAGGTAAATATAAACTTTTAATAATAATTTATGATTAAAGCAATTTTTTAATAAATTTAATTTTAAAATATACAATAATTAAATAGAAATTATTAAATTTCAAAATAATTTATTTTTTTATTTCATAAATATTTTAAAATATAATATAAATTTAAATTAAGAATTTTAAAAAATAAACTGTACTATTAATACACAGCTTAATAATATGAAAATTGAAATTGCAAAAAACCTCCTTTATTACCATATGTTTTGTTAATATACTTAGAAATATATACACTATGTTTAAATAATTATATTCAATTTTTTTTATCTGATTATTTAATTTTTTTAGGAAATACTAGATAATTTGAAATAATAAATAAACATAATTTGCTATTAAAAATTTTTCATAGCTTAAACTTATATAAACATAATTTGTATTATAAATTAAGTAATTAAAGTAAAATTATAATTAATTTTACTAAATATATATATATAATAATTAATTATTAATCTATTATTATTATAAATATATTATATAAAATAGCTTTAATAATAATAATAACAATAATAATATATAAATATAAAATATGTAAATATTTTAATAATATAATTAATAAATTTTTTGAAAATTAAATGATATTTATCATATGTATATAATTTATCTTATTGTTATACATACAATGTATTTATTTAAAAGTTATTAACTAAAAAATATTACAAAATAGTCAAAATTTATAATAAACTAAATGCATTTCTAATTAATAATTGAGGTAATTTATTTTATATAATCTAATTAATTATTTACGTATTTAAAAAAATATATAGGTTTTACAATTAATATTATTTATAGTTTTTTTATTATAGATATATAAAAGTTATGAATTAAAAATTTAATATTTTTTTCTTTTTAATAATATTTGAGTTTTACAATTATTTTTTTTTTTAATAAATATACATATTATTATAAATAAAAAGAAATTATATACAATTTAAATAAATATACTAATATCTATTTTTTTATGAATTAATAAATTTTATAAATTATTTTGAGTGTGTTATATATTATTTTTTTAAAAAAAGTAAATTAAAAATCTTAATAAAAATTTAAATATGAAATATAATATTATAATATTATAGTAACTTTTTTATTATTTATAAATAAATTAAAAGCTTTATCATTTCCTATGGTATGAAATAAACTCTAGCTATAAATGATAATCCTGATGATTTTTACAATTAATGGTGGTCCTGCTGCTCCTTTCGTTGCAGCAGCTGCTGGTTCCACTCAAGACCTATAGCTGATAGTGTAGCTACTAAAGATTCTAATGCAGATTTAGCACATTAATTTAACGTCTAATACGCTGTTGGCATTACAATAGATGATACTTGATTAACTTATTATTTAAACTAAATAACTGAATGCTTAACTATAGCTGATAATGCTACTATTATTTACATAATAAAATATTGAATGCTCTGCTGATACTTAATTTGCTAATGGAATAATTAGTTATGTAAATGCAAACATATTATATGTTAATTATAGGCTTAACTTTTACTTTGCTTGTCCTGCTGCTTTCCAACCAGATACTAGTCCATTACTTGCAACTGCAATGATGATGCCTTTAATAATAGCACACTGTAACTTGTAAATATTAACAGAATGTGTTAATTATTCTGCTAACTTTTACTTTATTGATGCTGCTGAAGGATAATTATATGTATAACTTTTCAAATAATAGAGATGGTTTTATGGTGACACTACTACTTTTGCCACCTAATATAACGTTAAATGTTATGATATGATGGCACAGTACTTGCTGATGAAACATATAGAAAATATCAGAATGTAAATAATGTGCTAAAAATCAAAATAAAATGGTTGGATAAAAAATAGTGATATACGTACTGCTTATACAAAAAATTAACTTCTGACGCTACAGATATATTAATTTAAAGATTAGTATATATAATAAATTATATAATAACTTTGTATAATGTTTTAAACATATTTTTTATTTTAATATCTTAAAGGGTAAATTTACTAATGTTATCAAAATAAATTCATAATTTTTATATGATCAATTTATAGTGCAAAAAAAATAGTTAATGCATATTAATGGGTTATTTAATTTTCAATAATTAATAATTATTATGAGGATTATTTAATCCAAAACTATATATATTAATTTTTTTTTTTTCGCCTTAAAAATATAAATTAATTACTATAAAAAAATATATTGAAATAGTATACTATATAAATAATATGTATATATATATATATCCTATTTTTAATAAATAGTATATTATTCTTCATTTTTTATTTGTGATTTCTTTAATTTAATTAATATCTTTTAAATTTACTTCGTCAGTTTACAAAAAATTATTATTTTAATTTTAAATGTGTTATTTATCAATTTATTATATATTATTTTAATTTTAATTAAATTAATTTTTATAATAATCTAATTCCTATTTGTTTTCTTATTGATATTTATTAAAATAGTTCTTATTTTTGAATAAAGGAATAATAAAATCAAGAGATTATTTAATAAAAAACAAATATTCAGCTAAATATATTAGAGTAAAAAACAGGATTATTAACCAAGAAATTCCAATTCTTATTTTTTCTTCTAAACCTTCAAGATTAACCAAAAAAAATAAAAGAAATATATTAACACCGAAACAGAATTCTACAAATAAATTTTTATAGTTTATTTAATTATTTAAATAAGGTTTTTTCTTAAAAATTAAAAGCCCTAAACAAATATTATTTATAAATAAAAAACATAATAGAACATAGGGATACTGATTAAAAACTACTATTACAAAAGATATATAAAATTTTCTGAAATATAGTAAAATATTTTGGTATTTATAAGAAAGTTTCTAGACTATTAGATCCAAATATACGCTTTTTATGTCTTTTATTATTGTGAATAATAATATTAAAGGTAGAGTTATTATCAAAAAGCCAAAAAACAGCATAAAATAGTTAAATTATTCTATACTTTTTCCATTATATTGGAGATTTTACATTTATAAAATAGACGAGAAACTTATGTTTTGATATATAATCCATAATAACTATATATAAGCTATTTTTTAAATATAGTCTTTTACTAATTTTAAAAAATTAAAAATTCTGTTTTCAGACATAAAATAAGTTATCCCGACCAAAATTAAATTTATTAGAATTAAAAAAAATAAAATTATAAAACTTAAAACTTTATTTATATATATATATATATATATATTATAAATATTTTAATAGTATATATATATATACCCGAATTAGATAAAAATAATCCACTAATTTGGTTTTATTTAAATCTTTCATTCGTTTCATATTATCCTTCAAAAGAAGATGATAATAATATATTAAATGTATTAAATGATTCATAAAATATTTCTAGATTAAAAGGATTACTATATATATATATATATAAATACATACATATATAAATTTTACTTAATTGATATTAATTTCATCATATAAACTAGTTAATATTTTTCTATTATACCATCTATAAATTATAGTTATCCATAAAAGAATATTACAATAGTAAAAATAAAAGCAATAATAGATAAAGCAATGATTGCCTTTTGATAATTTTAAATATTAACTATTTAATTTTATTCATATTCGTAAGTGAATATATTATAAATGAATTTTTTGTTATCCTTGATTCTTAAATAATTATTTTTATTGAAATATATATCTACTCTTGTAGAAATTAAAGGCGGATTTCTTGTAAAATTAAACTTCAATTAAATCTGTTTATTATCAATAATAGTTCTTTCGATTTCAAAATAGGTAAAATCTTCAATTAAAACAACTATATTATCCATATATTTCTATAAATTATAAATTATGCTTTAAAATTGAATAATTATCAAATTTTATTATTTAATAAGTATCTCATATTCAATATCTTTATAACAAACATCCCCATTACAAAGAACACATTAGTTTTCCATCAAAACATCCACAAAATGGCATGCTGTGCATTAATTTGGATCTCCTCCATTACATTCAAGGCATTAAGAGTTACATATAAGGCATTTACCATTACTGTTATAATAAGTAGAAGGACATTATTTTCTACAAGCATTATCAGGTCCTTAAAAAAGCCCTTCTGGACATTAAGATACACAATCACTATTAAAAATAACTCCAAAAGGACAATTTTATGAACAGTTTTCGCCTCCAAACCCTTTTATACATATACAAAAACCTCTAACACATATTCCATTCGATGAGCAATTATCTCTACAAGGCTTTGAATAATTACAAAAGTCATTATAATCATTTGGACATGTAATTTATCCCATTTTTGGGTCATCTTTGTTAATATCTAAGGCCTTTCCTTTATCCTCTTATGTACATGTAATTTGTGTTTAAATTTAAGGTATAAACACAGTAATAGTATTTTCATCACATTTGAATTTATGACACCTTGATCTTTAATCTTTATATATAGTCTAGTATTTAGGCTGTGTAGATGTGGAAGTAAAACATCTGCTGTCAAATCCGTAATATTGCATTGTTTTTACTGCATTTTCATTAGCTTAATTAGATTAGTCTATGCATATTCTAGTCAAATAAGCATCCACTACATAACAATTGTCGGTTGTGGAACTTATTCGAGAATAGCCAATACCGTGTCTATCGAAAGTACATATATATTTTTAATTTTCAGTTGAAAATTCAGGAAAACTATATTAAGAATAACATACTTATGTTAAAAATTCACAGCCTTTACCTTTTCCCCATTATAATTCGCTAGAAAGGTTCTAATTTACTTCTTAGTAGTATCCTGTATCTTTTAATAAGGCAATTGTGAATATAGAAAATACACGAACTAGTCCAAACGCAGAATTAGTCATTAATTCGTTTGATAAAAGCGATTTGTCCCAATGGGAACCAATTTAAGATTAGGATTTGCTCTTTTTATATAGTATATATCGATAAAAATATCTGAAAATAAATATATATAAATATATAATTATATATATATATATTTATAAATATATATATGCATATATATATATATGCATATATATATTTTTATATATAAGTTTATTATTATAATTTATTTACTTCATTTTCTAAAGTTATTCCTTCGGCATTTTAGCATTTAAAATGCTTTCTGGTAACATCTAAAATATTTTAAGAAAACAACATTATAGTTTCTTTTCCTCTAACATTTACAGTTTTCTATATTTAATTATTTCCTTTTTTATACGTTTTTCCTGTAGAAGGGTCTATCCAATATTAAAATTGAGATTTTGAAAAACCTAGTATATGTAAAGTTTCATGGATAAAGCTTTCTAAGTTTTATCTAAAGAGTTTATGATCGTTTATTTAAAAAACCATATTAGTGATATTTATTTAAATTCTCCCGAAAATAGGTCTATATGTTATTTCTTAAAAAGCACAAGCATTTGCATTTGCACGTGAATCATCTTTATTATCATTCATATAAAATATGTAAATATGTAAGTCAGAATTCGGAATTCCTATTTATTTGTCATTTTCTGGAATTATAATTCCGTTACATTCGCCGCTTAAATATTTTGGGTATTTGTTATTTCCTTTTAATGGAGTTATTTTTAACATTTACGAAAAATAATCAGAAGATAATCCTATTAATTTTTTTATTATTTTTATTTATGATTGTGTTAAATCATTTGTCTGTTCAATTCGTGAATAGTCTATTGTTATTCTTATTGGTTAAGGATTCTCTTTAGCTTCGGATATACGAGAGGTTTATTTAGGAGCATGCTTTTCAGATTATTCATAGAGGTTTTGGAGGTAATTTTAAATTTGAATATTGTCGTGATCGCAGTTGTATTAAAATGAAAAATTTAAAATAAATAAAAATAAAATAATGAAAAGTAACATACTTATTGTTTAAGAAAAATAGAGAAGAGAAAAAAATATATTTTATAGAAATAAAATTGTAATTTAAGAGATAAATTATATATATTTATTATATGTGCATTTGCATATACAAAAAATTATGAAAGTGCATATATTATATATAAATGTAAATAAATATACAGATAGATATATATATAAATATATATATTAATATATATATATATATATATATTTTATTTATACAAAATTCTAAATAACACTTTCTTTATATATAAACAATTTTAAGATATATGATATATATTAGTATTTTATTTTTTATTTAATTTTATTAGATATTATTTTTTTTATTATATTTTAAAAAAATATATTAATTAATATTTTTTTAAATAAAAACTTTATATTTAAATAATTATATTTTTTTATTATTCATATATCTTATTTTTATTTATTAAGATTTTCTTTTTTTTATATTTTAATTTAAATTTAATTCATTTTTAGATATAAAATGTACTCTATAATATATATATGAACATAATAAAATAAATATTATTAATAATTATATAAATTTTATTTAAATATTTATTTTAATATATCTTTTATTTTATAAAATAATAAAGATATATATTTAAAAAATATCATTTATTTCATATAATAGATTATATTTAATTTTTTTATTTGAATTTATTTACTTTTTAAAAATTC